AAAACTGCCCAAGAGGGTCCCAAGACGCCTCGAAGAGGCCCCAAGACGGCTCCAAGAGGGTGCCCAGACGAGGGACTAGAACGGACATTTCGAGCCCAAAGAAGACCCCAGGAGGAACCAAGAGGCCCCCAAGAGGCCCCAAGAGGCCCCCGAGAGGCCCCCAAGAGGCGCCCAGGAGGCCCCAAGAGGCCCCTAAACTGTCCCCCAGAAGCCCCCGAGAGCGCTTCGAAACCCCTAAGAAGCATCTGTGAGGACTCTGACCCACGTGAGCGTCGTCGTCGTCGTCGCCGCTGCCGCCGCCGTTGTCGTCGTTCCCCTTCAGGGTCGGCGGCACCGGCCGTAAGGCCTTCGCAATAGGCCAGACGGGTCGGAACGGCCGGACATGCCGAAATGCCCTGAGATGCAGCGAGCCCGGAAGGTCCACGAGCCCAGAAGCTGCTGCTGTCCGAGGGCCACATTGCCACAGGAATGTGGGAAGCATGGGCCGCGAGACACAGGACACAAGGGTACCCTTGATTTGGCAGGGTCGACCTACTGATATGGGCCGACTGTAGAGAGGCTGCAGATGCTGCTGGCGGATCACGAGAGGGGGGCAGAGGGGTGTCCGATGAAGGCGGTCTTCTAGGAACACAGGGGGGCTTCAGGGCGTTATGACTTCTGAGGGACTGCTGAAGAGGCTCGTTCGAAGACAGGAGGGCCTTCAAGAAGCGGGGTGCCTCCTTACGAGGTATCCCTCTTGCAGTGCCCCCTCCTGCGCGCCGCCGAGTCTGCTGGGGGGGGCAGGGATGCTGGGTATACTGGGGCAAGGAGGGGAGATGCCTGGAGAAGCGCAGAGGGGTCGGTTGAGGAAGAGGGGCACGCGGGGAGGGGAACGGAGGGAGGCGGGGACAGCAGAGAGTGGATGGGACTGGAGAAAGTGGAGATGCCAAACGCAGCAGTGCCAGAACGGCCGGGAGGGGGTCGAGAGGGGCTGGAGGGGCTGAGCGGGGGAGGCTGGAATGCCCAGGGAGGCCGACAGTTACGATGCTGGACAAGAGGCTGGAGCTAGACCAGCGGGGGGATCCATGCGGATCTGGTGCTGGATGGAGAGGGCTTCCGGGCGCGCCGGAGAGACTCGAGCGACCGTGGCAGCGGGGGCCCGGGCAGGCCGGCGGGCCCCGGAGACGGCCGAGACGGGTGGAGCCGACGCCACTGGAGTGGATCGAGATGCCAGTCCAGCTGGGGTCGTCCCTCCTCCTCCTCCTCCTCCTCCTCCTCCTCCTCCTCCCCCTCCTCCTCCCCCTCCTCCTCCTCTTCCTCCTCCTCCTCCTGGTGCAAGGATGGTCCAGCCCGTTTGTGGAGCCCCGTGGGCCGTGGATCTGCAGGTCGAGCGGGTCGAGATGCCAGGAAGGCTGGGTCTGGGGCACCCCTGGCCATCGCTCGGACGTCCATTCCCTGTGCTTTTTTCTGTTTCGTGCGTGGTTCTTTCGCCGAATGATCAAGGATGCTCCTCGATGGTCCTCGCCGAAGGAAAAATGCACACGTCCGAGCGATGCCAAGTCAGAGTCCCCGCTGGTGCAAGGATGGTCCAGCCCGTGGGTCGAGCCCCGCGGGCCGTGGGTCTGCAGGAGGTCGAGCGGGTCGAGGTGCCAGGCGGGCTGGGTCTGGGGCACCCCTGGCCATCGCTCGGACGTCCATTCCCTGTGTTTTTTTCGGTTTCGCGCGTGGTTTTTCGCCAAATGATCAAGGATGCTCCTCGATGGTCCTCGCCGATGGAAAAATGCACACGTCCGAGCGATGCCAAGACCCTGGGGGTCGCCCAGGGCGCCCCCGCCCCCTCCTCCTCCCTCCCTCCCTCCCTCCCTCCCTCCCTCCCTCCTCCCTCCCTCCCCCTCCCCCCTCCCCCTCCTCCTCCTCCTCCTCCTCCTCCTCCTCCTCCTCCTCCTCCTCCTCCTCCTCCTCCTCCTCCTCCCTGTGCAAAGATGGTCCAGCCCGTGGGCCGAGCCCCGCGGGCCGTGGATCTGCAGGTCGAGCGGGTCGAGATGCCAGGCAGGCTGGGTCTGGGGCACCCCTGGCCATCGCTCGGACGTCCATTCCCTGTGTTTTTTTTTGGGGGGGGTCGTGCGGGTTTTTTTCGCCGAATGATCAAGGATGCTCCTCGATGGTCCTCGCCGAAGCAAAAATGCACACGTCCGAGCGATGCCAAGACCCTGGGGGTCGCCCAGGGCGCCCCCGCCCCCCGGGCCACCGCCCGCGCCGTCCGCTCGCCCGGCCGCAGGGCGGCGAGTGGACCCCCTGTGGGCGCCGCGGCGGAGCTCCGGCCGGTCTCCGGCGGTCCCCTGGGCACGTGGAGCAGGTGGGGCCGGGAGAGCCCGAGCGCGTGCGCAGAGGGCTGCACCACCACCGTGCCTCGGGCAGGGGATCGACCACAGAATCGGCTGACCCACAAAGCTGGTTGTTCTTCGTCGAGTCCACGAAAGGTGCGACGCATGTGCTTTTGTAGATGCGACGAGAAATCAGTTCTGGGGTCAATCAATTCTGTAGTTGACCCCCTACTCGAATGCCTGGCCGAGACCATCTGGGGCCCTGGCATGTCGCATACGCCCTCCTGGCCGAGGCCAGGGGAGTCTCTACCACCCCGGGGCCCAGGATGGCCCTGGCCAGGCATGGTGGCGGTGCATAGATGCCCTCTGCGGGCTCCAGTCGCGCACGCTGGCCGACTGAGCACGCTTGTAACCTGTAACCAGCCCTGCCATGTATATCAGGCCAATGTGCCTTCGCTCGAGTGACCGCGCGCGCGCACCAACGCCTGGGCTCCAAGCCCCTGTTCAGGGCTGATTGGGCTCCGCTATGCTGCCCTGGACAGCACTGGCTGGAACGGAGACGCAGTACAACATGTCTGCGCGGTTCCAATGGCGTTCAAACACCCCCCAAAGCGAAACTAGACAAGAGAGGACCCCTGCCAGACCGGAGGCACTGCCCAGGCACGTACGCGGCCTCCGCCCTCACCGGCGTCACCTGGGCGCCAAGAGCACGGACTGCGGGGGAGCGTGTGGCGAGATCCCCGCGCAGAAGCAGCCCCCCCCCACCATGTATGTCTGTTTGTCTGTCTGTCTGTCTGTCTCTGTCTGTCTGTCTGTCTGTCTGTCTGTCTGTCTGTCTGTCTGTCTGTCTGTCTGTCTGTCTGTCTGTCTGTCTGTCTGTCTGTATGCATGCATGCATGTATGTATGTATGTATGTATGTATGTATGTATATATTTGTGTGTATGCATGTGTCTACACATGTATATATGTATGGATGGATGGGTGGATGTATGTGAATATGTACATATATGTATGTATGTATGTATGCATGCATGCCTGTATGCATGTATGTATGTATGCATTTATGTATGTGTGTATGTATGTGTGGTTTCCATACTTTATGTATGTATATATGCATGTATGTCTGTGTGTATGTGTGTATGCGTGTGTATATGTGTATGTGATTATGTGTACGTATGTGTGTATGTATGTGTGTATGCATGCATGCATGCATGCATGCATGTATGTATGAATGTATATGCACATATGTATATATATATATATGTGTATGTGTAGGTATGTGTGTGTATGTATGTATGTATGCATGCATGCATGCATGCATGTATGTCTGTCTGTCTGTCTGTCTGTCTGTCTGTCTGTCTGTCTGTCTGTCTGTCTGTCTGTCTGTCTGTCTGTATGTATGTATGTATGTATGTATGTATGTATATGTATGTATGTATGTATGTATGTGTGTGTATGTATGTATGTATGGGTATGCATGTATGCAGGTACATATGCATGTCTGCATGTATGTCATGCATGCCACGTGCGCCATGCATGCCATGTATGCATGTATGCAGGTTTGACTGTATGCATGTATGCATGCATGCATATGCATGTTTGCATGTATGCATGCATGCGTGCCGTCTTGCTCGCATGCATGCATGCACGCATGCATGTTTGTATAGGATGTGTGTGCATGCATGCATGCATGCCATCACGTATGCATATCTATATGAATGCATGCTTGACTGCATGCATGCATGCACCCATGCAGGCATGTATGTATGAACACATGCATGCATATATACATACATGTGCACACACACATATATGTACATATATATATATATATATGCGTGTGCGTGTGCGTGTGCGTGTGCGTGTGTGTGTGTGTGTGTGTGTGTGTTGCGTGTGTGCGTGTGTTTTTTTTTATGTGTGTGTGTGTGTGTGGGACCGTTCTGCCTCTGCCTTCTCGCACGCCTCCACCCAGAGACTGGGCCGCAGCACCTGCAGCCAGTCCAGCTTATCCTGATCCCAGTGCGCCCTCCGCCTCTCTTCCCTCCGCGGCCGCTCTCTTCCCTTCCCCCGCATCGGTGCCGATGCTGCCCTCGTGCAGCTCGCCCCGACAAACTCGCACGGTCGCCGAGTCCGCGACAAGCAAGTGCATGATCGTGGCTGCCTACCTCGGCGGCGAGCGAGGGGGGAAAGTGAGAAGCAGAAGGTCTTCTTTCAAGACGGCGGGACTTCTCAGAAACCCTCGCGCCTCCTGAGAAATTCTCGGTGTCTTCGGGGAAGGCTTGGAAAACTTCTCAGAAGGCCGGGGGACTTCCGAGACTTCTGAGAAGGCATTCTCCTTCTCACTTCCCCCCCGGGCTCGCCGTCGACTGCCGCCGCGGAGACACAAAGGCGATGCCCAGGCCTCGTTCCCGACTCGAACGGGCAGGAGCGCCGTCGCTGCTCGGCCAGGAGCTCGAGCAGACACGCGCGGGCGCGGGCTTCGCACTCACACTCGCACGGCTCGGGACTGTCTTGGGGGCCTCTTGATCCAACCTGGAGGCCCTGGGGGCCAGCCCAACAGTCCCGAATCATGGAGACACGTGCTTGTTTTAATCGCTTGTGTATGCTGGCCATGCGGTCTTATACAAGAGCGCCAAAGACGTCCCAGGAGGCTCCCACGAGAGTTCCAAGTGTTCTCCAGACGCACCCAAGAGGGGCCCGAAACGCCCGCAAGAAGCCTCCAAGATTGGCCCTCGAGGGGGCAAACGGAACACTGACTGACATGTCGGGCCCTTTCCTCCAATGTGGCCCGCAAGACCGCCAGCGGGCCCAAGAGCCCCCCCCAGATGCCCCCTGTCCACAACCCAGGCACGGTGGCGGCATGGACCGACGGGCACCAGACAAACGTCCAGTTCAGGGCGGCGAGACAAAGACAATGGATACCTACAGCGGGCTTATGTCTTGGTTTGGAGATTTCGTATCCAGGGTAACTTCCCACTGCTGCAACATGGCCTACTGAAGCCGAGCTGGCGATTCAATTCTGCAGACGATGGCACGTGTTGCAAAGCGAAACGGACCGCCCAAACGAATGCGCCACGTCATTCCGCAAAGGGAATGGCCACATCACAACAAATCCGCCACCCTCGCCCGAGGCACGGAGAGCACCGTCCTTCATTACGCCCCTGCGAACTCTGGAACCCAAGGGTTTCACCGTTTGCCCGACTGCTCGGGCGCGCCCTGACGTTCTTGAGGCTGCTCGCACAACTTTTACGTTTCGAACTTCTTCGGGGTGCGGTTCGGAATGCAGACATCCAATATGCCATACGATGGTCTCATGGGGCCGCCCTGTGGCTCTCTTGGAGGCCTTCGGGACCTCATGGAGGCCCATGGGAGAACGCATTGAACGCCCACAGGTTGCCGCATTCGTTTAGCATTCTCGGCTTTTCGGTCTCAAGAGCGTCCGAAATGGCCGAAGGAGGCCCGACACCTCCCTCCAAGACGGTCCCCGATCCCCCACGATGGGCCCCAAAGCCTCCCAGTAGGGCTTCAATTAGGGCCCGACCAAGGAAACTCGAAGGGGTCTTCGGCGCCGTCGCCAAGGACGCGCTTCTCCGAGGACGAGGACGGCGACGACTACGACGACGACGAGCGCCAGGCCGTGCTTCTGCGAGAGCGCCCCCAGGCCCCAAGAGGCGCGCCGCGCCCACGGGGCCCCCCAGAGGCACCCCAGAGGCCCCCCGGGAGACACCCAAGAGGCCTCCAAGAGGCCCCGAAGAGGCAGGAGGCCCCAAAGGAGGCCTCAAGACGCTTCTGACCCAGGCTTCGGTGGCGGGATGGGCCGAAGGCCACTAGGTAGCCGATGCCGTAGAGTCATTGCGGCGCGTTCGCCTTGATGAGGGCCATCTTTGCGCACGCCATGTTCGCACCGTAGTGGAACACGCGCACGACATCGGCCTCGGGGCTGTCTGCAGAGTGGGCAAGCTTATCTGAGAAAGCATGGATCCCTGACATGTGCTTGACAACACAAAGCAGCGGCTCATCAGCCAGATACGCCTCTTGTAAAGACACACGCATGGGACAGTGGACCAATGAAGACGGCATCATATCTCTGACACACGTTGCTCCTCGAATAATTTCAAACATATCCTGCGTTACCTTCCACTGCCTACTTCTAAAACATGCTGCGTGTTTCAAACTGCCAAGATGGCTCAACAGTAACCCCCATGGAACCCGCGGGGGTCGACCCCCTTCCATGGGGCCAACTTTTCATCCTGAATCGTTGTGTCACGGTCCCAAACCTCCTAGAAAAAAAGATGCAACTGTTGCAAGTCGGGTCGAAGAATCGTCCAAGGGTTGTCGTCCTGGGTCAATTGCTGACGATCCCGGGGCCTGGAAACGGCCCCCGGGGGCCGAAAACGACGACGAACCGCAGGCAACGACGACGAACAGATCGACGACCCACGCCGAAGGAGTTGCCTTTCCAGGGCAGCGCATGGCCCGACGCCTCCCGACTCCCGAAACGGCGACGAACCGCCCGCATCGACTCTCCGCGGCGCCCCACTGCGCAGAAAGCATCTCTACACCACCACCGTGCCAGGCCGGGGCCATCCTGGGCCCCCGGGATGGTGTGTACGCCCTCCTGACCGAGCCAGGAGGGTCTATACGCCATCCTACAGCCCAGGATGGCCCTGGCCTGGCACGGTGGTGGTATATAGATGCCTTCGTCGGACCCATGCCTGGCCCCCGGCGGGCGCCGGCGAGCCGCGACGGGCCTCGGGCGGCCCGCCCGCCGCGCCGCCGCAGGGCCACTCCCCGGCGGAGCCCGCGGCGCCCGCCGGCGTGGCGTTGGGCAGCACGCAGCCTGCGGAGATCTCCGCGCGGCTCGCGGGGAGGGGGGCGGCGGGTTTCGAGCACAAGGCCAGCTGCAGGGCTCTTCGGCTCTTCGGCGCCTCCTCGGATCGGCCATCGTCGGGAGCAGCAGTCTGTGCCCTCGATGTGGCGCCGAGAGCGGTTCACTCGTTGGGCCTCTGCCGTCCACTCGCCACTCCAAGTCTCGAGTTTGGGGGGGGGCAACATCAGTGGGGGGGCGCCACGTCGGAGCGACGTAGGGAGAGAGGCAGCATCAGGGCCATGCCAAGACATGCGAAGGGAGGCAACATCCAGGGGAGAGGGTGGGGTGGGGGATGTTGTATACAAGTGCCCTGGAATTCGAAATGTTGCAATGAATTGTGCTATACCAATGGCTATGCTCATATTTTCTCCTCTGATGCAGAACTCACTGGTGCGGTGCAGTGACATGTATAAGAGGGTTGTATCGTGCCAAAGGCAAGAACTTATGACCGCACATGCAAGTTTTCTGTTCTTCTTTACATGAGAGAAAACATCGAAGCATTGCGCTGGCAGTGATCAGTCTCAGCTCAAGCAAATGCCACGGATGACGGATGACGACGGATGACAACAGAGGGATGACGACGGACGACACATAACGACAACGATGACTATCGACGACAACGGAACGACGACGACCGACGAAGACGACCACGACAGACGACGACGACGACCACGGTCGACGGTCGTTGACGACGTTGACCACGAGGTCAACATCGACGGCGGCGACGACAGCGGCGGCGACGAGGACGACCGACGGACGACACCGACGCGCCACGACAAGCGACGACGATCCCCCCCCCCCGCTGGTGGGGCCTGCCGCGCATGCGGCGCCGGCCGCCGCGCCGCTGGCCTGGTGTCCCTGGGGCGATGCCAGCGCGATCCCGCTCGGGCGCGGCCGATCGGAGGGGGCGATGAGTGCGGATAGCGCAGGGACGGGCGTTACACTTCTCGGGACTCGGCAGCGGCAGTGTTGTTTTAGGCGCAGGCGTGGGGGAGCTGAGCAGTTGAAGCACGTGGCGCAAGTCATGGACTGGCGCGGAGATGGCGCACCGAATGTTGCGGCAGCGTCGGCACTAAGCAAATGCGGCGGCGGTGTGTGTGTGTGTGTGTGTGTGTGTGTGTGTGTGTGTGAGCGTGTGTGAGCCCGATGCCATTGTTGACGTCCACCGCTTCTCGTCAGGATGTCACATAAGGAGGAAGGCTTCTTGCTGCTTCTAAGAAGCCTTCCCCCTTCCCCCTACCCCCTTGTGCACACCGCCATGCAGAGACACTGAGAGATGGGCAGTCACTGCGGTGCGCGCAGTGGCGAGTCGCGCGGGAGACTGCGGCGTCGAGACGCTGCGGTCTGCGCATAAGGGCGGCAAGGCCCAACGGCATCGTCCCTTTTATCCGGGGGACGAACAAGTACCGATACAGCTACTCCCCGGACCTCTCGCGGGTTGCGTTCTGACAAGACAAGAACCTCGTGGAGAACCCAGCCGTGGCGACGAGGGCTCTCCTGGACGAGCAGCGGTGCCTCTTCCCAAACTGACTCATGCAGCGCCGGAGGAAGGGCGGGAGCATCGCAACCGCAGAGCACGTCGCCAGCGAGTGGCGGGGGTTCCCGTGCCGACGCCGACGGCGGCGGCGGCGACGCAAGCGACGCGGGGGCGGCCTGCGCGGCGCCGCCGCCAGCCCGGCGGTGCACCGCGCGGGTCCTCGCCGCCCCTCCTGGCGCGCCGCGCTGCCGCCGACGGCGGCGGCGGTGACGCCGACGGCGGCAAGACCGGCGACAGCGACGGCGGCGCGAGCGACGGCAGCGGCGGCGACGGAGCGCCGCCACCGCCGTGGTCGTGGAGGGGGTCGGGCGAAACAAGGGCTCCCAACTTCGCGCTTCGCGCTGCGCGAAGCGCGAATAACTTCGCGCTCTCGCGCCGCCCTCCCAAAGGGAGAATAGGAGGACGAGGAGGAGGGGGAGAAGGAACGAGGACCGCGAAGCGCGAATAACTTCGCGCCCTCGAGGGAGCCCTTGCGAAAGGGGGGGATAGCAAAGGGGGGTTTTTGAGAATCAGCTCACGCAGCTGATTTTCCCGGCGCCCCCTCCCGGCGCCGGAGGCGGCTATGTATCGAGGAAGGGGCCCCTCGGTGAGGCCGAAACCAGCCGCCTGCAGCAGATTTCGTAACCCCCCCTTTCCCAATCCCCCCCTTTCGCCCGGCCCGAGTGGAGGGGGGCGGGGGCGCAGGGGGCTCCCAGGGCCGGCAGTGAGGCCGCCAGCAGCAGTGCGGCCCCCGCGGCCCGCGGCAGCATGGGCCCTCAGGCTGCGGGTCCGAGGGCCTGGCGCCGCGGGGCGCGCACCGTCGGCTTCGCGGTGGGCCGCCGCCGCCGGCGTCGGTCGTCGTCGTCGTCGTCGTCGTCGTCGTCGTCGTCGTCGTCGTCGTCGTCGTCGTGGCCGTCGTGGTCGTCGTCGGCGTTTTCGTCGTGGTCGTCATCGTCGTCGTCGTAGTAGACGTTGTGGGCACCTCGTCGCCGCCTCCTCGCGGTCGTCGTAGTAGTCGCCTTCGTCGGCGCCCAAGCGCCGTTGTCGTCGCCGACGCCAGGGGAGGGAGGGGAGGGGAGCGATGGGGGGGAAGCGAAGATTGGAAACCGGAAGATCGGATACGGCGATGATGACGGGGGGGAAGAAGGGACACGAGGAAGGACGACGGAGGGCAATACCAGAGAATGCGTTCCTCGTGCTCGTGCTGTTTTCGCGTGCCGCTACCGTTTCCAATCGAACCGCGACGAACCCTGGCTGGGCGAAGCGCTGCCAGTCGCCTGAAAAATAAAAACACGAGCTCGAGGGCGCCATGCGCATCTGGCGTGGGTGATAAGAACACGTTCAAGAACAGGTTGACCAGCGTGGACCCCGAACAATGTTTCTAGTACTATGTGTGGTGCCATCTATACAGCGCAGTCTGTGGTGCAATCTGCGTGGTATAAATTGCCCCACCGAACTTGAAATTGTCAGCTCCACTGCTCGCGCGAACATCCCACCAACCCAACCGCAGCTGGGTTTGAAAAGATGCGATTGTGGTGACTGTCTGAAGCTGGTTGGCGCGTCGTTGCGGCCGCACTAGCGCGCGCAGGATCGCGCGCAGAGCGGCCGAGTAATCTTGCGCGACTGGCGTGGCCGCGGTGGCGCTGACCGCTGGGGACTTACCCACGCGCCGCGCGGGCCGCGCTGGCGCGCGGGCATTTCCGGGCGAGTGGGTGACTCGGGCGGGAGCGGTACCATGGCGACTTCGACAACGGCAGCCACGATGATGATAGTAGCGATGCTGGTTACGACGATGACGATCACGACTGCAAGGCCTTTGTCGGCGCTGCTGCTGATCGCGCCGATGACGATTATGGTGTTCACGCTTCGGTGACGAAGGTGTTGTAAGGATGATGCGCGCGCGGCCGGCTGGCGCGACTGGGCCGTAGTGTAATATTCACGGGGATCGTGCCAACCCCCGTCAGCACGCACGCGAAGCTGTTCGAATGACGTCGACATGCGCGCGCGGCAAGCCTTTTTGGTCGCATTAGATGAACATGTTGGGCAATCTATATTTTTCTGTAATTCGGAAAGGCACGCTATATTGCACAACGTAGATTGCACATCGTAGATTGCACATCGTAGATTGCACAACGTAGATCGCACAACAACAATCTCCGTCCTAACAAAAATTGCGCTGCACCGCTCCGCACGAGGCAGGAATGATCCTTTCCCCTTGGACATGTGCAATTTAAGCACGATTCAACCCTATCGCTCGCTCTGGATCTGATCTCATACCATGGCGGCCAGGCCAGTACCAGTAGGACCCGTCATCCCTTGCAAAGGCTACTATGCGCGCGCAGTCGCCTGCAATTGCAATTGCAAAACAACAGACAAAAATACCATGAAAGGGACAAAATGCGCGCGCGTCGTCGCGCGCGCATGCAGACATCCTTAAGCAATCGTCGGTGGCGCAGGGGATTCAAAATCGATGCCCCGAAAGCTTGCGTGAACACATTAATTGTTTCGCAACATGATGTGTTAAACCAGTGTCGGCGGCGGTGGTGAAACATAGGTGGTGCAATCTATGTGGTGCAATTCACTTTGACCGTCTTGAAGCTGTCCTCTCCACTGCTCGTGCAAACATCCCACCCTCACACCCGCAACTTGGTCGCAAGAACTCTTAAGACAAGACCGTGACGGTAGGTACCACATGACACTTGGCCACGACACCGACGCCGACGACGACAGCGACAACGACGACGACGGCGCCGCCAACACCGACTACGACGACACCGACGACGTCTCCAACGACTTCGACGACGACAACGACGACACGACGACGACGACGACGACGACGCGACGACGACGACGACGCGGCGACGACGACGCCGACGTCGACGACGACGAACGACGACGACGACGACGACGACGACGCGACGACGACGAAGACGACGACGACGGGAAGGAGGAGGGAGGACAACGACGGCGACAACGACGACAACGACGACAACGACGAGGGAGGAGGGAGGACGGCGACGGCGCGAACGACGAAGGAGGAAGGACGGCGACGCCGACGACGACAACGACGAGGGAGGAGGGAAGACGACGACGACAACAACGACGACGACGACGGCGACGAAATAGGAGGGACGACGACGAGACGCCGACGACGGACGACGACGACGACGAGGGAGGAGGAGGAAGGACGACCACGGCGACAACGACGACGGAAACGACCACGACGCCAAAGAGGACGACGACGACGAACACGAGGAAAGACAGAGGACGACGTAGGCGACGACGACGACGCGGGAGGAAGGAGAACGGCGACGACGACGACGACGCAAGAACGCGCGCGCACGCTTTAATCGAAAATCCGTGTTGCGAAACCTTGTGTTTTTGTATGTTTTTTGGACGTTTTTTGGACACGCGATGTTCAAATCCTTCCGAAGCCCATGGGTTTTGAAGGATTCCGGCATACGCGCGCGACGACGCGCGCGTCTGCACTTCGTCCTATTTTTTGCAGAGGATTCTCTCGACGGCACACGCGCAAGGGCGTTCGACAGATTTCGACATGCGCGCGCGCGCGAAGCCCGTTTGGTAGCATTTTGTGTAAATCTTGAGAAACCTATGGTTTTCTTAGGATTTCGCACGAGCTCGCGCGTAAGCTTTTTTAGCAAATCAGTGTTGCGAAACAATGTGTTTTTGTATGTTTTTTGGAAACTCGATTGCGAAATCCTTCCGACACCGAAGGTTTTTGGAGGATTTCGGCATGCGCGCGCGACGACGCGCGCGTGTGCACTTCGTCTCATTTGTTGCAAGGAATTAGTGAAACATGCTATGCTAGAACAAAAGATGTCCCCGCGTATCGTTTTTTACAAGGGAGCCTCAGGGGGACCGATCCCGGGCCCCCTGGGATAGTGTAAATGTATATTTAGGATGGACATGTGGTCAGAATTATACATGACTTACATACCCGAAAGGGGGGGGATAATGCCGGGGGGGGGGGCGGCGACGAGGCGGCAACGGGGCTGCGACGGGCGACAACGAAGCCGCCAGAGCAGCACACGGGCCCAGACAACGGGCGGCGACCAAGTGGCGACCGAGCGGCTACAGAGCCGCCACACCGTCACACAGGCCCAGACGACGCGCGGTGGAGAGGCGGCGACGGCGGCTACATAGTCGCCAGACCGACACACCAGCCCACTTCCTCAGACGTGAAATAAGAACCCCTCAGTGCAAGCACTGTTTTGGGAAATTCTGAATGCAGAATACAGACGGCTCTAGAAGCCCGAGGAACACTTCTCTTCGTGCCTCGAGGCACGGCGGCGAGGCAGTGCAGAGCAATGCAGAGCAATGCAAAGCAACGCAATCTATGTGGTGCAATCGAACGGCGGCGACGGGGCGGCGACGGCGACAACATAGCCGCCAGACCAGCACGCGGGCCCAACTCCTCAGAACAGAATCTGGCCACCGCTCGGACGTCCATTCCCTGTGCTTTTTTCGGTTTCGTGCGTTTTTTTCGCCGACTGATCAAGGATGCTCCTCGATGGCCCTCGCCGAGAAAAAATGCACACGCCCGAGCGATGCCAGGAGAAGCAAGAACTCCTTAGTGCAGCATCTGCCTGGGGACTCTTGACACAAACCACCCGTCGCACACTTTGCCCCACGACGCGGAGGGGGCCTGGGGCCTCTCTGCCAAGAGGATCAGGTCGGGCTCGTCCTCCTACCAGGCAGCTCGTGGCAGTAAAATGCACCACTGACCGAACCCAGATCGAAAATAAGCCAGAGAGCGCGCCACACCGTCGCCAGACTATCTTTCGACTCTTCTTGAATGCCCCTCCTGCGGAGAGAGCTGCCCGACTCAACCAGTCGGGAGCGGCCAAGAGGGGGGGTGTCCAAGAGGGGGAGGTGCAAATCAGGCCCGGCGGCATGTCATGTGCGCGGCCCAGCGGGGGGGGGCCAGGGACGGAATGCAACAAGGAGAAGCGCCATGAAATCTGGGGAAACATCATGGCCCACGCCATGATATCCCCCCCCCCCCCGTCATCACCCCCCTCTTTGCCGCCCCCGAACCACTGGCCACCGCTCGGACGTCCATTTCCTGTGTTTTTTTTTGTTGGTTTCGTGCGTGGCTTTCTCGCCAAACGAGCAAGGACGCTCCTCGATGATCCTCGCCGAAGGAAAAATGCACACGCCCGAGCGGTGCCAAGACCCGGGGAGGGGGGGCCGCCACAGGGCGGCCCGCCGGGCGGCGCGCCGCGGCCCGCGGTCGCTACAGTGTGCTACATGCGCGGCCGCGCGCGCGCGGCCCCCCCGCCACGCGCGGCGCGCCTCGGCCGCCGCCGCCGAGAGCGCGCGGGCGACGCCGTCGGCTTCGGCCTCGCCCTCGCCGCCGTCGCCGCCGGCGTCGCCGCCGACGTCTCGGCGGCTGGCGTCGTTGCCGTCGGCGGCGGGCTCGTCGTCGTCGTCGGCGGTCCCGTCGAGTTGCCCTGGGCGTCGGCGTCGGATAGGCAAGGGGGGAAGGAACAAGACGGAGGATCCGGACAACGCATCTGCGCACCACCGTCAGCATGCCTGGCCAGGGGCATCCTGGGCCCTGGAGGATGCATTCGTCTTGCCAAGGTCCCAGGGTGACCCTGGCCAAGCGCGGTGGTGGTGTATAGGCGCCTTCCGCAGAAAGCGAGGAAAGATGAGGAGCAAGGACGTTAATGCGAGGGGTAAAGAGGAGGACTAGAAGGCGACGGGGATGAGAGGCGGGATGACGAGGATAAAAAGGATGTATGAT